ATCGAAAAGCACAGGGAGACCAACTAGAGGAAGTAAGTAGAATAACATTAATATAATTAATATGATTAAATAAATAACCGCTGACAAAAACATCGCAGGCTCAAGTTTACAGGAAAGTGATCGAGCGAGCGAGCGAGCGAGTGACAGCTGTCCCATCCCAACAACTCTACGATTGCTGACGCAATCTCCGAGTTAAAAATTGCTTGGCTTTGAACATAGCCTCCTCTGCATGTGCTTCCTTTCAGCTCTTATTTCTACTCTTGGGTTTCCTGTCTTCGTCAATATGACGGCGGGGTGAGGGAGACTGTAACCTGGCGGGAAAAAAAGATGGTCCAAGGCCCCCGCTCTGCCAAGAGGATAACAAATAGATCCAAAAAGGATAAAATGGCCTTTAGAGGAGGCTAGCTTTGAACGTTTCCCATAGTAGAAGCTTTCCTATACTCCAATTTCGTGCAAGCTTAGCTTTAATCAAGCATAAATTGTCTATTGTAAAGATATGAATATGAAGACCGCATGGCACTATGATAAACATGATATAGAGATGAAAGAAAGTTATAGTGCTTAGCGAGGTCGGAAATTAATTTTTCCGAATTTATTCCTAAGGGACTTCTCCCGGAATTGCCTCCTTCTAAGCACTATAACTTTCTTTCATCTCTATAAATTGTCTATTGTCTTCTTTGTACACAGAGTTTTTGCATTACAATAGATTCTCTGTTAAATAAAAGAATATATTACATGCTTTCGAGGTTAAGACTGCACAAATAAGATCTCGAAACTGGAGTATTACATGTACCTGTTGTGTTGGTTTATCATGATCCTTTGGATTAAGACACTCAGTAGCACCAAACTTTTTAGCTTAAAAATGAAAAAAAGTAATAAAAATGAGACTATTTATCTGACCCTGAATACAATATACAATAATAAATATAATTTCAACCATCACTCAACAAACAAATTAAGTGCTTTATGGCCAAGCTTTTCCCTAAGGGAATTACATAAACCCCCCAGCAGTACACGTTTTAGTTTTATTCTGATGATGACTATTTATTCGAAAACGTTTAAAGGGACACTGTAAATGGATGACATGCGCAGTTTAACAGTCTCACATCTAACAGACTTTGAAAGTATTACATTCGAGGTAAATCATTTTGTGGTGCTTTTGACACACTTAGGAATATTCTAGATCTGTTTACGTTTACGAGCTGATTTATGTCGTGCCAATGGAGTCATAAACTTGAAAACACTAGCCTAATGTTTTAAAATTTACTCGCGCATGCGTGCCATTGACGGTGTCACTTTAAGATATATATATTTTTGATTTTCTTATTGTAAATGTTTATGATCCTTATTTTTATTGTATAAATATAGCTATGTAAATAAGTTAATTTTAATTAATACCACCATTTGCATTGCTACWCTACCAGTCCACTTCACAAATGCAATAAGACTTCTGTCAAACAACTTTATTTTGATTGACAGCAAGTTTGTTAGAAAATTTTTAATTATGGAAGTCCATAGCTATTTGCACATCATGACTTTTGTCCAAGGGTAATCACAGAGAAATGCAAATGATAGTATCAATTAATTATTAATATATTCCCCTATCACATATTGAATTCTACATACTTTATTACCTAAATCAAACTTTGCAGGATTGATGTCAATGCCAATGATTCGACTACATCCAGCCACTTTACACCCCATAATAGTAGCTAGACCAACTGCACCCAGTCCCCAMACAGCAGCTGTAGAACCCGGCTCTGCCTGAAAGAAGAGGTTTTTCTTAYGCTCTAGTACACTGCCTAATKGATGTCATGTAAGCCTTATTTTCATCATGATATAAGCCCAATCTCAATGGAGCACTAATGACTTAAAAACTAACCCAGTGCAAGAACAATAAGTGCAGGATCAATTTTGTTTCTTTTCTTGTACTTTTATGTGATTTAAAAGATTGCAACTGCTTTTTCTTTTACTTCAGTGTTAATTTAATTTACATGTAGTTGCCTATAACTAACTAGAGTACAAACATTAAATGTGTGCAACACTTTCTACTATTAACTAAAAAATAGTGTTAATTAAACAATAGAAAACAATAGAATTAGCATAATTTAGCAGTATTTAGTGGTATTTATGTTGCACAGTTTTAGTGTTTGTACTCTACTAATAAGTAGAGTGCTCGCACTAAATGCGTGAAATATAAATACTTCAAAATAGGTGCTAAATTATACAAATTCCTTTGTTTCCTATTGTATAATCAACACTATTTAGTAGTAATTAGTACTATTTGTTTCACACTTTAAGTGCGAGCACTCTACTAGTCTTGCTTAGCAATGTTGTCATTCTGATGAGAAACATCCTAGTAAATGGTGACTGCAAAATAGTCTATTGGCAAGAAAGCAGATTAATTTTCGTATTCATTATTATTATTATTACCTTAGCAGTGTTAAGTACTGCGCCATAACCAGTAGAAATACCACAACCAAGCAGGCATACTTTATCTAGTGGAGCTTTCTCATTTACCTGGAAAAAATCATTAGAAGTAATTATAAGAAGGTCACTGAATCGGGTCAGTGATATATTGTCAATTGATCAGTGAGTGTGATCGAGTTTCTGGTCTCAATTATTGATCAGCACCTCTCATTATAAAACAAAATATATTGCATGTATTTTAAGGAACWGATGGATTATGAATGATTTTTTGTCACTTGGCAGATTAATTTTGGATTTTAGCAATGGTTAAAATGTCAAAGTTTGTTTGTACTTCAGCTGGTTACATGCTTTGCAGTTCCARTTTTTGTATCATTATGGCTTATCAGAAATGATGTGATAATGACCTTTATGTTACAAAATTTTGTTGCAATTTTGACAAAGGTTTGTTGGGTGGGTTACAGTAACGTACCTTAGCACAAGAGATCTCTGCAACTACAGTGTATTCACTGAAGGTACTGGTACCCATGAAATGATACAAGGTCTTTCCTTGACATGTGAACCTTGAAGTACCATCTGGCATGACTCCTTTTCCCTGGGTACTCCTATGAGCATAAATGATGATTAAATTTAAGCAATAAACGATTGCTTAATTGAAGTGGTTGGGAGAACATGAGAAAAGATCAGTAA